CTTTTCAGCCCATACAAGACAAAGAAGCTACACGAAGACATTCGACATTTCGCAGAGTTCGGACGTCTCGTCCCTGGGAGCGATGCCTATCAACCTCTGTTTTCGGTATTGGGACGGATGACTTCACTAGGCCTCAAGCATACGGTCCATTCGTCGATGAAATCTGGTTCATGGATCTCAGCTGAGTTCTCTCGTACAATCGAGGTTTACACTCCCAACGACAATTACATCCGTTCCTCTCATTGGATTCTTTGGAGCACAGTCAGCCAGCAAGCACTCCTTGTTAGCCCCGAGGAAGCCAACCAGCTCATCCACATCATGCAAGAGCAACAGATGCTTCAAGATAGTATCAACGTCCACCTCATCATCTATGCCGCACCCGTCACGCGAAGGATGCTTCACTTCAACCAGCTTGACTACTATGCGATACCGGCTCTACCTGCAGAGTTCAAAGCTCCCGTCTGGCTTCGGGTCGAGATGGGGATTTTCGCTGGGCGTCTCTACCTCGAGTGGGATGAGTACTACCTATTGCTGGAGTACCTTGGCCTCGATGAGAACCTATCCCAGCACCCGGAGAAGGATGCATTTGCAAAGAAGCCTCTGACTTTTGGTACGTATTTTCCGAACATGTAACAGAAAACAGTTTACTAACTCTGTGTAAAGTACACGAATGGCTTGCTCTGCGCCGCAAGGGTCAAGACTTCGAACACACCCCCATGGGTTTCGTTACTACTGGCAAGCCGCTTACGGAGAATCATCCGTTCTTCCGCAAGCTCGCTCTTGGAGACGATCCGGCTTTGCGTCAGCATGTCGCTCGAGCCGTACCCGACCAGCTCGATGCTCAAGACGAGGAAGATCACGATGACCACGACGATGAGGAGGACTTTGTTCCGGCTGTTGAGCACGTTGATGACTCTGAGGGTGAGGACGAAGGGTTTGAGTCGAGTGGCGATGAGGCCTTCTTGGATGCGGAGGAAGGGGAGTAGACTTAGGTGCCTTGTGCATCAGTTGGCCCATGTATGATAGCACGATAGTAACAGGAAAAGGCTCACACGCTATTCGCGGTGCGCTCAAAATTACACTTTCCCCGTGCATGACGTGAAGTGTGATGATTGATACACTGCTGGCGAAAAAGCATAGGTAGGAGATTAGCAGAATACTCGTCAGCGTTCACTACAGCTGCGCCAGGAGTGGTCATCTTCGTGTCGCATACGGATTCTAGACCCCCCTCATCGATACGGGGTTATCAAGCCACACCTGGTAACGCAAATCTATTCCTGATGAAACGTTGCAACACGATCTGTTCTGACGCTGGAAGGACGGGATACGGAGATTGCGGGAAAGGGCCAGATGCGAAGTTAATATATCTTGATTAGCCGATCCGGTCGACTGGTACTAAATGTGGCTATATCCATATAGTATGGTACAATTGAAGGGTATTTCGGCATGTATGACAAAGGTACATATTGGGCGCGTCCCGCATTCAAGCATTCTTCATTCTCCTTCAAAGATCTCCCTTACATCCTTGGCTGGTGTGGTGGTGCCTCTTCCCGGATATGCGGCTCTGCGAAGCCACACCTTTGGCGCCAAGCATCCCCAAGACCTGCAACGTGTGTTTGTCCAACTCGGGTCCGGCGGTGGAACGGGGCTGATCGTGCTCATACGGATTCGGTCGAGCTGACGCGGGTGTACATGGGGAAGCGTGTGGTCTTCCATACGGCGAACTTCCTCACTGCAAAACTGCAAGGTATAAGTCTTCATTCTGTATGATTCCAAAGTCCTTCTTCTTAACGCCGCTCCGTCTATCGCGCTTCTATGGTACTACTGCGAGTGTATGGAAAGAACTTACTATATGGCGAATAGCACGAAGATCAGGACGAAGACGTTGGCAATGGGGTGCGAGACGGTCTGGTGGAGCATACTCTTCGCGCCTGAGGTTCGGTCTCCACTCTCGGCTTTCTTTGCGAGGTCAATGACCCATTGTGCTGCCTCGTCACCGAACAGGTCGAAGTAGTTCAGGTGCTTGGACATGTCCTTGTCCTTGGTATGGGGTGCGCAAATAGGGTCGCCAGGCTGACAGTACTCGCGGAGCTTGCCAGCGTCAGCGTAGGGTTGGAGACCGGCGTTCTGCTCCGCGGTTCGTGGTGCGCCGCCATCCGAGATCTCGCCGCCGCCGTGGGTGAAGGACTGGTTTGCGGAACGTCGCGTGGGACCGAAAGCAAGTGCTGCTACGACTGTGAAGATGTCAGTTGAGGCCTAAAAGTTGAGAGAAGATTAAAGTCGTACCCTTGGATCCGGGCGCACTTGAGATGTTCATGGGTGGGTTGTCTTCCTGAGTGCATCCCCAGAGTGGACCGCCACCACCACCGAGGACGTCGAGCGCGACACTTCCACCCTGGCTGAAACCCATCACAATGAGGTGGCTGTCCGGACACCTCGCAGTGTAGTTCCTCATCTGCTCGGCGCCATTCATAGCCCCCTCGTGCGACGATATGCACCATCGCTCTCCGCCGTTCATGGCCCAGTACTGCACATCCTCATATCCGCAGGCCTTGGGGTTTTCCTTGGTGTTGAGCGCATTGCACACTTTGCCGACTGTCTCGATGACGTGGCCCGGGTATGGCGAGGTAGAGCCGCGGGCGAGGAAATGATGGTAGGTTTGGCATTCGTCGGTCTTGAGGGCCTCAAACTGGGGACAGTCTTCGAGCTTGGTGCACACTGCGAATGCGGTGGAGGCGTACAAAAGCGCCGAAAGCGCTATCCGGGGTATCATGGTGAATGTGGAGAATGAGAGGAGGAAGCGACGCAAAAATGAGTGACTCGTCAACGACGGGAATAGCGGCAGGTATCTCGGGGGCGGATTATCGATCAAGCAGGGAACACGGCAGACTCTCGCTCAAACACACGGCAAAGGGAAAGTCGGCGGAAGGTGACAAGATGGAGAAGCCGTCGAAGCAACGTCGAAGATGAGGTGGGGACTAGCCATCGATCTCGTTTCACCTCCTGTCATTCCTGGGGAAAGGCATGCGCGTACTACAACATGCCAAGCAGGAAGTCGACATGCTTGACGCTCCTGCGTGGCCCCGAAAGGTTTGAGAATGGTGATGATAGTCGTAGGCCAAGCTTTTTGGCGCCGTCCCGCCCGGAAAGAACGGCTATTAGGCCCCCGTGCGCCTCACAGCCGCCTCACAGCCACTCCTGCGCCGCACCTTGGGAACCTGCAGAGGGCACAGTACGTGCGGAAACGCGAGACATCCTTCGCGATAAGAAAGAAGAGGAAGCGCACAGTGTGAGATCGCGATTGTGGCCGAGTTTTGAGGATCGGTGGATCGAAGATCGCGTATGAGGAAGCGACAGATGGGAAAATGAAGGCGCATGACTCAGCTGACGCGTAACCCGAAATGTGTGCCCACTCGAATAGGGGCCTCTCGTCAACTCCTACTCCATGCGACCAACAACCGACAATACCCACGACTTCATCCCACACTGACTTCAATATCATACTCTCGTCTGACCTACCTGCTCCAGATATCGCGGAGAGATACTCGGTCTTCCCCACGTCTTACTGACTGAATTAACAGCCTTCCTGGCCAACAAGGTCTATTCCAAGAGCGACACGATTCATCTTTCCCAAGCGACATGCCAGCAGCAGAACACTGCGTCTTCCTATGCGACCTCCCTTGCGACATGCGACTCCACAGATACAACCAAATCGGTACCTTGCAGCGGAACCGGAGTAATGATTGATGTGCTGCGACCCATGGAAACCGTACTGTTGGCTATCTCGATTCAATACCTTATGCGACCATCTACCGATTCCACGGCTCAGTGTCTTCCCACAGCGACCATTGAAGGAGATATCGTTTCTCGACCGGGTTCTTCATCTCGTCCGCGGCCTCTAGTATGGGATGAGAGTGCCTCTGGACATGTCTGCGAACCTATCAACACTCGAAGCGGACATCTGCCGTCGAAGTTTATCGCATAAGACTGGTCTTGGCTCTCCCAACTCCTCCGCCATGCCAACCGTCCGTGCACTCCGGTTTCCAAGTGCCTCACTTTCACTGGATGTAACATGATGAGATTATGGATTGCAGCCGATGTTTTACCGCGCGAAATTTTCGCATTCACTGCCAATGCGACTCGGCATGTCCTTGTCGCGGATGGATCCTTCGGGTTCCTTCCCATTTCGTCCCGGAAATGGCCTACACACTGAATCAACGTCTGTCCATCGTCTGGATACTCGGAAGGTTCCTGTAATCTGGGACACGCTCACACTTACACATGGCTATTTGAGGGTTCGGGCTTGATGGACTTCATCACAACATGCCCAGACCGATGACGACAGCGGCCAAGCTGTCGGGTGTGACACCGGGCTGCTTCGGCGCCGTTCTCGCGTTGTCAGATGCGGCTCTCGCTAGCGCGGTCGCTCCCGACGTGGATGAGCATCAGACGTCACCAAGACCCTTCTCCGCATCGCGTTGCATCGTGTGATAGGAACGGCAGCGTGGGAAGGCTGCGCATCGTCCGGAAGGACCCAGCGTGCCGCAGTTGCGCGTTTCGCGAAACACCAGCTCGGTTCCTTTACTAACAGCTTCATCTATACGGCATCTAGGGAGGCCCACATACCTGAAGTGGATAAAAGTACCATTCCGTCTCCACGCCTCCGCGAGACCCTGCCTCCAAATCCAGCCATCATTGGGTGCACAGTCCCCGTTAAAGTGCGGACGCATTCTACGATACGCTACTACCAGCTACTGTCTTGGTCCGCGTGCGATGTGCGTTAATACGTAATTCTCCATGTCCTTGGTTTCCTCCACGCTGCGCTGTGACCAGTCTATCGTTCTTTCCCGCATCTATTTATCCTCTCAACTTAGCCCTCATCGAACGTCTCCATTGACAAGTTCGTTTCTTGGTCGCATCTTCGTTGTCACTTCGATTTCCCCGTCTCGACCACACTCACTCGGTACATGCAGGCGTAAGTGCTTGGTCTCCCTCTAACCATGGATCACAAAGACGTCTCTTCTGCCCACGGCAACCTTCCCATGCAACATACACACGACCTCGACAACAAGCCCAAAGCTCTCAATGATCTGCCCGTATCTGCCCAGCGACCTACAGTAGCCCTTGCAGCAGATCCTACTCACGATCCGGAAGACCCTTTGCGACAAAAGAAGCACGGAGACCCCGAAAAGCTCGAAACCTCCTCCGAACACGACACGAACCTAGGCGACGTATCCGATATCCAGAATGCAAGCAAACGCCCCACAAGCAGTGCAGGAACGAAGAAACTCAACACAACACAAACTGTCATCATCTTCATGACCAATGAGATCGGCATCGGTATCTTGTCATTGCCAGCCGCTCTGAACACCCTTGGGTTCTTCCCTGGTATCATTGCCATTGTCGGTATGGGAATGCTTAGCTTGTACACTGCCTATAATCTCGTTCAGTACTGGCGCAAGTATCCTTACATGCTCAACATTGTCGACTACGGACGCGTCCTCGGCGGTCCCTGGCTCGAAGCCGTCTTTGCCATTGGTTTCCTCATCAACATGGCTCTCATCAGCGCATCGGCGGTGGTCACTATCTCGATCGGTCTCAACACTGTCAGCGAACACGCGACCTGCACGGTCGCCTTCTCGGTCGTCGCGGCCATTGCCATGTGGGCCATGTGCGTACCGCGTAGTATGCGTTTCGTGTCATGGGCATCCTGGCCCTGCACCATCTCCATCTTCTCGGCCGTCATGTTCGTCATGATTGTGCTTGGTGTTCAGGGTCCCCGCAATGCGGAAGCACCTCTCAACCTGAAAGCTATTGGAAGTCCCACGTTCACGGAAGCTGTCGCTGCGTTCCTGAACATCGCGTTTGCTTTCAGCGGCAATCAAGCTTTTCCGACTGTCCTTGCTGAGATGGAGGACCCCTCTCGCGACTACCCACGCGCTGTCACCATTGAGAAGTGCGCCACTACCACCATCTACTGCATCGTCGCTGCGGTCGTCTACGCCCTTTCCGGTGAATCCGTCGCTTCGCCAGCGCTCGGATCTCTCCAACCCTTGATGGCAAAGGTCGCTTACGGAATCATCTTTGTTGGACTCCTTGGCACTGGTTTGGTGTTCGGCATGACCGCCGCGCGCTACCTGCACGTCTTCTTCCTGCGCGAGATCGGCACTCGCCAGGCCAAGAAAGATGGAAGCTTCAACGCTGAAGTCTCATCTAGCGCTTCCGGATCGTCGCGTGGCCGCCGCGCTTCCATCGCAATGGGTGACGTCGGTAACAAGACTGAATGGGCTGTCTGGCTCTTCTCGGTTACCCTCTTCTGGGTCGTCGTGTGGATCCTCGCCAACGCTATTCCGGTGTTCAGCTCCCTTCTCAACATTTCCGCCGCGCTTCTGCTATCATGGTTCACCTGGGGTGTTACTGTGCTTTTCTGGTTCCATCTCAACTGGAACGGCAAGTGGCGATCAAGTACAAAGAAGCTTGCGACGGCCGCTCTCAACGTGTTCATCATGTCGGTCACGCTCTTCATGATGGTACCTGGCATGTACGCCAGTATCCGCGCTTTGATGAACACATTTGCCACAACAGATGTCAACGGCGCATTTACATGTGCGGACAACAGCATCTTGTAAAACTTTATGTTTTTCAGTATATATGAATTAAGCTTTTACGTTCACAGGCTACGAAGTAGTCCACCTCAATATCTCGCTTTGTTCCTTTTACAGCTCGCCACAGTGTCCAGTTTGCCTACAGATGCTAACTCGACGCGTCGCAAAACGCAAGACATCGAGAGTCATGCGCGTTGTCTTTCAGGAACTGTCGTGACAGGTGAACGCGACTGCCTTTTCGGGAAATAGGTCCCGGCCACCACCGTGGAACGACCGCTACTACCAACGACGATCGCTGAACGTACATTTAGGTCCCAGTATATGCTTCCGGAAAATATCAAGACGTTTCTTACACTTCTGGTACTGGTTTGTCGGGTCTCTGTCGTGAGTACCCACATAACAGAACGTGGTCGAGGCATGACATCACCCGCGCATCATCCCGACATCCACTTCAAACATCACGCCGTTTTGCCGCCTATACATCAGGGTCTTATGGATCTATTCCCGAACTTGTGGTACCCATGCAGGAACAACCGCTGCGTATAGGCCGGAAATGAATGTAAGAATCATCGCCGCATCATACAAGGTGCTCGCCATGATGCCGACGACTTGCCGTGTCGTAGATCTACATGCTGCGCGAGTATAACAATAGATATCAAGACGCGCTGTCTCGATTTCAGGTTCAAGCAAGATTCTTTTGTCGTACTACAATTCCAGTACTATCGAATCGCAAAGATGCAGCACGTCCTTCAAGCTGGTCTATCCTCTGGGATGTCAGCTGTCACTGGCATCCACAGCGGCAAGCACACCAAGCCCAACCCAGTCGACCCTTCCTTTGATGGTCTCGCAGCCGTCATGCCAGAAGGCTGGATCCCAACCGCCGACCAAAAGGTCACATACAAAGGCAAAAACGGAGATGTGTACGCTCCGCAACTGTGCATCGGCGCCTGGCCTTGGGGAGACACTTCTACCTGGCACTGGAAGCCCGAAGAAGAGCCCCATGTCGTTGCAGCATGGAAGCACTGCGTTAGCAAAGGAGTCAACTTCATCGACACCGCCCAAGTCTACGGCACAGGCATGAGCGAGACAATCTGCGGAAGACTAGTCAAGGACATGCCAAGAGACAGCTTCATCATGCAAGACAAGTACTTTGTCGTACCCCAAGCAAAAGACGTCCTCCACCCCACCATGGCCCCCCTCAAGAAGCTCGAAACTTCACTTAAGAACTTCGGCCTCGATTACATCGACATTTACCTCGTCCATGGCCCCATTCACCTTCAAACCATCCCCATGATTGCCAAAGGCATGGCCGAGTGCGTAGAAAAAGGCATGACCAAGACCGTCGGCGTGGCAAACTATAGTCTCGCAGACATGATCAAGATGCAAGACGAACTGGCCAAATACGGCGTGCCCCTCGCCATCAACCAAGTCGAATACTCCGTCCTCCGCCGCGAACCAGAACTGTCCGGCCTCCTCCAGGCCTGCAAAGAACGCAGTATCGTCTTGCAGTCCTACTCCTCGCTCGCTCAAGGTCGTTTGACTGGCAAATACACGCCTGATAACCCGCCGCCAAAGTCATACCGCTTCTCCAGCTACGATATGAAGGACATTGAGCCTATCAACGCGGTGCTGAAGAAGATTGCGGATAAGCGCGGTGTACCTCAGAGTGCTGTTGCGCTGAACTACAATATGTGCAAGGGTATTACGCCGGTATGTGGCGTGAGGAAGGAGGAGCAGGCTGTTAGCAATTGTGCGGCGCTGGGGTGGAGGTTGAGTAATGAGGAGATTAGGGAGATTGATGGGGTTAGCTTTCAGGGGCATACTACGAGTTTGTGGCAGCAGGGTTAGATGGAAATGGGCGACACTGGTTTGGAACTGAATGAGTAACGATGTAGCTTCGTATAAGTGTGCTGAAGTATTGAGATTATATACCTATCTCAGCAAGAAACGACGGCCTACTTTATGTGCATATCGTTGCTGAGCAGTTACACTCGGGTGCTATCCGACACTATCACAGAGGCTACATTCTGTATCAAGAACCCTGGAAACCGATTTTTGTATACCCATGCCTTGTATTCCTTCTTGTAGCGATGACGGTGAGCAGGGATGCCGACCCGACGGTTGGTCTGAGTAATATCGTCCATCCACGGTTCAGATGCCTCGGACTTGACTATCATATCCACGTCAAGCTCCTTGCTGTAAGAGTGAATCTATAATTCCTCCACAGATTTCCCGAGAAACTTGCTCCATCGGCGCTGAGAGGTAGTGGAACTGTTCAAGTCGGCAGATCGAACTCGAGAGTGCTTGATTAGTTCTTGGAACTGCGTGTCGAGATCCAATGCTCGCCTGCTAAGCGTTCTTGGATAGTGGTACAAGCGGAACAAATGGTTAGGGCGGACAGAGCTGATGCCGTTAAGCCTGACGGCGAAATCCGGATGCCTTTTGCATACTCGAATAAGTGGAGCTATGTTGACGCGAGGGAAAGTTTTATCGAATCGAAAGGTGAAGGAGGTACTACCGACCAGGGAGTATCCTTTATGCGGTACCAGAAACGTGTCCACATTGGCGGCAAGATCTTTGAGAGGGACTCGATATGTGAAGTTAAGGTATTGCAATGGACGCGTTTCCTGACGAATCTGATGATTGACCTGGCAGAGATGGAAGTAGGTTCGATATCCGATCTCATGCACCGAAGGTGATTGGCGAGTAAAGTTCTCGTCTCCAGATTTCTTGCAGTATGAATATATTGTGTTGCGCAATTCTGCGATGAATGTTAGCGCACTGCTATTTGTCGAACCAACAAGTTGCTGCTTTACCTCCGGGTAGATCCATAAAGCCGAGCTTTGTCGCATCTTGTTTGGTACCCAGTCGGCGCAGTGAGTGCGTATTCTCTGGTTGCATGGTGACCGCGGGATGGTTGCGGAGTGAGGCTGAAGTTTGGTTGTGGTTGTGTAGTGTGGTGACCGGTGGCAGTTGATACATATGACTGGAGAACCTGGTGAGAGAGTGACCTCGGGAGCGTACGCCATAATGCGCTAGTCCATATTGGTAAGTTTATTCACACATCCGCGCATTGGTCGAAGGGAACGCTTCGTCACTATGATTACGCAGACTCATAATATGATTGGTCTACTGTCTTGGTCGTGATACCGCCGAACCATGGACGGACGCGATAATGTCTCGTGGTGGCGGACTTGCGAAGACATCATCTTATATAAAGTCGACATGCACCCTCTAAATTTTAGGCCACAACTCTTCACATTCAACAAATTCCGACGTCGATCGCACCACCAAACACACATCATGCTGACCGGCACTACTGGTTGTTTAGTAATACTGCAATGGCTGGTCTCACTTGCCGCATGCGACATTTTTCTTGGTAGGCAATCCATACCAGACTTGACAAAATCAGATCAAGGGTATTTGTACGGCGATCTTCATCATTCAGAAGACGCAGCAGATACCTTTAAAGACATGTTCGAAGCACCGAGCCAACTCACCTGGCTCTTGATCTCTTTCAGCCTCGTCGGACTCTCCACCAGCTATTCGCGCTCTTTGGAGAAAACGAAGCACCAGCTTCTTCACTGCCTCTTAGCTACCAGCCTCATCGTGCGATTTCTAGCCATATTTTCAGGCATGCTGCATTTGAAGTTGCGATCCTTAGACTGGATGATCCCCTGGCTTGCAATATCACCTTTGAACATCCTCGTCCTTACAGATTTCATTGACCTCCGTGCTTGGGAATGGACGTCTTTGGGAACATTTCTCAACAATATTTGGGAAGGCGTGTCTGGTGATCCCGCAGCAACCGACCGCAACTGCATCGTCAAGCCTCGATTCGACTGGACGATGATTTGGAATACGACAGAATTGGTATCAACCCAGGACGCGATCGTTCGACTCGCCTACTACCACCTCTTCGAGAACGCGGTACGCGTCCTGTGCCTCAGATACTATCACCCACACAACGAAGGCGCGCCATACACTACGTACATCAACAATTCGGAGATCTTGACCGGCTTACTGGCGCTCCAGGTGGCGGCTTGGACATACTGCAAGATGCGTGAGAACGTCAAAACCCTGGGAGACGTTGAGAATGGAGCTGCTGCCCTGCAGATGGGTCCAGCCTGTGAAGATCGTCTTTAGTCCCGGTGGATCGTGGCCTGGCAGTATTTGTTGATCGTTTGTTATCGTATATTCATTTTCCCGTATGTATGTCGTATATCGAGATGATCCGAGGATATTTGATGAGGTGCTCCGGCCTGACAGTTCCCGTTGTGGTGGATCGTGGATGGCAATGACGTCGCGCGTTCGACATTTCCGCAAATCGTTAGGCTGCGATGCCTGGGCAAGCTTGCACGTACCCGAAGAGCTTTGCGTTAGACAATAAAGGTATAGAGAATCAAATAATTCCGCCATGGGCGCTCAGGTGACCGAAGCTTTTCCTTCGGCGATTTTCGCTAGCCCGAGATGAGCCCATCGACCGCGTGTGAACGGGTCACAGACAAACTTTCATGGCAACCTTAATCGACATGTAAGTTGCGCCAGACACATCACCTGCGCGCACCGTCCCGGCGACTACCGGCAGGCTGGACAAGATGCGGGCATGATGCCAGGCGGTGGAATTGTGAATCTGCCGCGCACACGCAGATAAGATAAGCCTCATCGAAAGTGGGGATCGAAGGCGCTGATCAGGGGTAAAGCACGTGCCCCACCCCGGTCATCTCAGTGTGATAGCAATCTTACCGACGACTTCATTCGCCCAATGCGTTTCATCGACCATTGAAAGGGTTTAGCCTTTGTTCTCACTCGATGCCGCAATCCTGACTGAAGAAACATATGAGCTAGCAGGTGCCCCAATAGACGGTTGTGCCGGTCTCTTTACTTTTGTGCGACTTGCCCACAGTACTTATTCCTAATATCCACGCACTCGCCGTGGTGGTGTGGAAGAGCAGCCATGTCGTTTTTGGGCGACCTTTTCAGTTGTGGTCGGGCGAGACGGACGCGTGAGACGTCAACAGAGC